GTGGCTGCGACAATGGCCTCAAGTATAGCAAGGATCATGGAGCTGGCATGGGATCGGGCAGTGTTTCGTTCTGCTGTGCATGGGGTCACTATGAGTTGGAAACGGCTCGACGGCACCTAACAACAACAATGTCCTCCAAATTCATCCACATTATGTGGTGTTTTGCAGATTCTTTAGTGTTGCATAGTATTCCATTGTGCATGTGTACCATAGTTTGGTTATCTATTCTTCTGTTGATGGGCACCTAGGTTGTTTCCATCTTTTTGCTATTATAAATAATGCTGCGATGAATGTGGGTGTCCATATATCTGTTCTTGTCCTGGCTCTCACTTCTTTAGGATATATACTTATAATGGGATTGCTGGGTCAAATCGTATTTCTAATTCCAGCTTTTTAAGGAATCGCCACAAAGCTTTCCATAGTGGTTGTATCATCTTACAGTCTCAGCAGTGGCATATGAGAGTCCCACTCTCTCAACATCCTCACCAGCATTTGTTATTTTCTGTTGTGTTGAACTTTGCTATTAGTGCTGGGGTGAGATGGTATCTCATTGTTGTTTTAATTTGCATCTTTCTACTGGCTAATGATAGTGTACATTTCTTCAGGGGTTTGTTGGCCACCTGAATATCCTCTTTGGTGAAGTGTCTATTCATGTCTTCCACTCATTTTTTAATTGGATTGTTTGTTTGTTTGTTGCTCAGGTGTTGGAGTTTTCTATAAATTTTAGAGATAAGTCTCTTGTCAGGTATATCATTGCCAAATATTTTTTCCCAATCTGTAAGTTCTCTTTTGAGTCTTTTGGAGAAGTCTTTTGAAACATAGGAAAATTTAATTTTAGGAGATCTCATTCATCTAGTTTATCTTCTGCTGTTTGTGCATTTTGGGTTATACTTGAGTCTATTTATCCCATAAATTATGGCTCCTAAGTTTGCCCCTAGTTTTTCCTTGAGGAACTTAGTTTTAGGTTTTAGATCATGAGGAACTTAGTTTTAGGTTTCACCTTTAAGTCTTTAATCCATTGGAATTAGTTTTTGTGTATGGTGTGAGGTACAGATCTTGTTTCATTTTTCTGCAAATGGATATCCAGTTTTGCCAGCACCATTTGTTAAAGAGACCATCTT